TGTATGTATGTCTGAAATATGATGGATCCAAAGTGCAAAGGTAGATAGTCTTTATAGTACATAGTACAGTAAAGTGGCTATAGCTGGATATGGGGGGGGGGGGTTACAGTCCAGACTTTTTAGGGGGGATGGGAGAAGGGGGAGAGAGGGGAAGTGTTCAGCATCCTGATAGCCTGGTGGATGAAGCCATTCCCCAGTCTGGTGGAGCAGGTGCAGAGGCCCCAGTACTTTCTTCTGGATGGCAGGAGACTGAAGAGGCTGGGGGGTGGGTGGGGTCTCCCACAGTGCTGACTGCTTTGCGGGTTAGGCAGGTGTAAGAGGGGTGGGTGGGGTCTCCCACAATGCTGACTGCTTTATGGGTTAGGCGGGTGTAAGGGTGGGTGGGGTCTCCCACAGTGCTGACTGCTTTGTGGGTTAGGCGGGTGTTGTAGGTGTCCAGGAGGGAAGGAACTGGGGCTCCAATGATCTTTCCTGCTGCCTTCACTATGCGCTGCAGGGCTTTCCAATCACTGGCAGTGCAGCTTCCAAACCACACAGTCACACAGTTGGTCAGGATACTTTCAGCGGAGCCTCGATAGAAGGAGGCTTTCTTTGCAGTGATGCAGTGTTCTTTGAGAAGAAGAGGTCCTCTATGATGTACACCCCCAAAACGTTGCTGCTGCTCACTCTCTCCACAGCAGTACCATTGATGGTAAGTAGGGGTGTTGGGTGTGTGATCTCCTGAAGTCAGTGACAATCTTCTTTGTTTTGTTGTTGCTACATCATGTGGTCAGTTGGTTCATCTCATTCCTGTAGTGTCATTATTGTTATTGATGAGACCCACCGCAGCTGTGTCACCTGCAAACTTGGTGCTATAATTTGGTGTCCAGTCATAGGTCAGCAAGGTGAAGAGCAGGGGACTGAGCACACATCATTAGGGGGCGCTGTGCTCAGTGTGATGGTGCCAGATGTCTTGTTGCCGACCACACTGCTTGTGGTCTCTCAGTGTGTCTAGCAGCCAGTTACAGACAGAGGTGTTAAGGCCCAGTCAGTCCAGTTTCTGTATCAGCTGTTGAGGAATGATGGTATTGAATGCTTGAAGTCTATGAGCAGCATTCTCACATGAGAGTCCTTAGTGTCCGGGTGGGTGGGGAGTACAGATAGGAGAGCAGAGGAGATTGCATCATTGGTCCACCTGTTGGCCCGATATGCAAACTGAACGAGATGCAGGGCAGACTGGAATGTATTTAATGCGCTGCATGACAAGCCTTTCCAAGCACTTCATGATAATGGGGGTCACTGCAACAAGATGGTAGTCTTTGAAGCAGGATAGAGATGCCTTCTTTTGTTCAGGTATGATGGTGGTGGCATTAAAGCATATGGGGACAAAAGCCTGACCCAGGAAGGTGTTCAAAATGTATTTTACGGGTCTTAATCCTGGAAAGTGCACTTTTCACACTGGCTGAAGACAGACATATTAGGCCCTCAGCAGCCTGTGAAGCTCCCCTGTCAGCCATGGCTTCCGATTAGCCCGTATGGTGATGCACCTGGTACATGTGACATCATCCATGCATTTGGTGATTCAGGCCCTGACAGTCTACTGACCGAACAGCCACCCGGTTACTATCCTGTAGGTAAGGGGTCTCCAACTCCGGTCCTGGAGAGCTACTATCCAGTCGGTTTTCAATCCTACCTGGCTTCTGATGAACCACAGCTGTTCTCAGGTAAATCTCAGGGCCAGGTGTGGCTCCTCAGAAGCCAAGTGGGATAGAAAACCTACTGGATAGTAGCTCTCCAGGACCGGAGTTGGAGACCCCTGCTGTAGGTTACCTCGATAATCTTCTTGAGGATTCATTTTCCCTTTGATGAAGGCAAGTTGTCTAGGTTCTGAGGCAGCAGTAGAGGCCCAGATAATGATGCTCGCTCCACCGTACTTCACCATTGGAATGATTTTTTCATGTTGGTATGCAATGCCCTTTTCACGCCATATATAGAGCTGTATAGTCGTCTCGAATAATTCAACCATAGTTTCATCAGTCCCTGAAATATTTCCCCAGTAGCAGTGTAGAGTGTGAAGGTGGTCTGGAAAACTTCAGGCACACAGTGATATTTTTTATCTGGAGAGCAATTCATCTGAGTGTGGGCAGATGAACCTCTAAGCTCATGAGATGATTGTAACCCTTTCCACCTTTATGTGTCAGGACCTGTCCTGTCAGCCCATCATGTTCCCGTTTGGCCAGGAGAGGTCACTGGCCATCCTGTAATCACCTCCTTGTTTCCAGCCTACTATCATAACCATCCACACCTGTCTTTCATTTGTGTCTCATTACCAATGCATATACAGTGCCTGTAGGAACTCATGATAACTTATTCAGATAGTTACTTTGCTTGTCATACAGCCTGAAATTAAAATCCATTCTCAAAAAAACTTTTACCAGCTTTATTTATAAATTTTGCCTTACAAGATCACACTATTGAAAAGAAAGTTAACTGCTAAGAAAATTTATTAAAAAATGAAAAACCAAAATTACCTGGTTGGCAAAGTCATTAATCCCCTGATTAATACTTAGTAGAGTCATCTTTTGCTGTTATTACAGCCATCAATCTTTTTGGATATGTCTCTGCTAGCTTTCCACACCTAGATTGGGGAATGTTGGCCTGTGATTCCTTGCAGAATTGTTTGAGTTCAATCAGATTCTGTGGTGAGTGGCAATAGACTGCTCTCTTCAAGTCAATTTAAAGCTTTTCTGTTGGATCTAAGTGAAGGGTCTGACTGAACCACTCAAGGACATTCACCTTCTATCCTTAAGCTAGTGTTGTTCTTTTGGTGGCACTGTACAGTACCTATAAGAAGTTCTCAGCCCCTTGGATGTTTTACCGTTTTATTGCTTTTATAAATCAATCATAATCAACATAATTTGGCTTTTTCGACAAAAAAAATACAAAAACAAACCCTGTAATGTTAATGTGAAAACTGATTTCTACAAAATAATGACAAATAAAAATATGTGACATAAAATAAGTGATTGCATAAATATTCACCCCCTTTAAAATGACTGACCTAATTCAACAGAGGTCCAGCAAATTGGTGCTAGTAGTCTCACAATTAGTGGATTGGAGATCACCTGAGTGCAGTGACTGCTTCTCAAGTGATTGTAGTATAAAGGCACCAGTGTCTGGAAGGTCCGTTCACTGGTTATTCAGTATTCCTGGCTACCGTTACAGCATGAAGGCAAAAGAACACTCCAAGCAAGTCAGAGAAAAGGTTATTGGAAAGTATAAGTCAGGGATGGATACAAAAAAAATTCTAAGGCACTGAACATCCCCTGGAGTTCAGTTAGATCCATCATCAAGAAATGGAAGGAATATGGCACATGTGTAAATCTGCCTAGATCAGGCCGTCCTCACAAACTGAGTGACCGTGCAAGAAGGAGACTAGTGAGAGAGGCCACCAGAACACCTATGGCTACTCTGAAGGAGTTACAAGCTTCAGCAGCTGAGATGGGAGAGACTCTGCATACAACAACTTTTGCCCGGGTTTTGCCCAGTCAAAGCTTTATGGTAGAGTGGCAATGAGAAAGCCACTGTTGAAGAAAACTCATATGAAGTCTTGACTATAGTTTGCCATAAGGCATGTTGGAGACTCCAGGGTCAAGTGGAAGAAAGTTCTTTGGTCTGATGAGACCAAAATGGAGCTTTTTGGCCATCAGACAAGACGCTATGTTTGGCGGATATCAAACACTGCACATCACCACAAACACACCATCCCCACTGTGAATCATGGTGGTGGCAGCATCGTGCTGTGGGGATGCTTCTCAGCAGCAGGCCATCGACCAAGGCTTGTAAAGGTAGAAGGTAAAATTAATGCAGCAAAATATAGGGAAATCCTGGAGGACGATTTGATTCCGTCTGTAAGAGAACTACGGCTTGGGAGAAGATTTATTTTCCAGCAAGACAATGACCTGAAACATACAACTAAAGCTACACAGAAATGGTTTGAAGACAACAAGGTGGATGTTCTGGAGTTGCCGAGTCAGAGCCCAGACCTCAATCCGATAGAGAATTTGTGGCTGGATGTGAAAAGGGCTGTTCAGTGGTCAGAGCTTGAACAGTTTTGCAAGGAAGAATGGAGTAAAATCAGTGTCCAGATGTGCAAGCTTGATTGAGACCTATCCACACAGACTGTCACAGACTGCTGTGATTGCAGCCAAAGGTGCATCTATTAAATACTGACTGGAAGTGGGTGAATATTTATGCAATTACTTATTTTATGTTACAGATTTTTATCTAATTGTCATTATTTTGTAGAAATCAGTTTTCACTTTGACATTAAAGGGTTTTTTTTGTATTTTTTTTTGTCAAAAAAGCCGAATTATGTTGATTGATTTATAAAAGCAATAAAAGGGTAAAACATCGAAGGGGTGAATACTTTTATAGGCACTGTATGTTTAGGATCATCATGTTGGAAAGTGAATGACCTACCCATCTTCAGCTATCTAACACAGGGATGCAGGCTTTCCTCGAATTTGGGTGCACTTGGCAATATTCATTTTCCCTTCAATCCTAACCAGTCACCCAGTCCCTACTGAAGGGAAACACACCCACACCATAATGCTGCCACCACCATGCTTCACAGTGGGACTGGTGTTTTTGGATGTTGTTTGCTTTTTGCCAAATGGAGTACAGTCCAATAAGGTATATGTATGTCTCATATGACCAGAGCACTTTTTTCCACATGGCAGCAGAATCTTCCAAGTGTGTTTTTGCATACAGCAAACAAGACTGAATGTGCTACATTTCCTTTTTGCCAGCCTGCCATACAGGTCAGCTCTGTGTAAAGCAGGGGTGTCAAACTGCAGTCCTGGGGGGGGGCGGGGGCGGGGCAGAGCCCTGTGTAGCTTAGTTCTTTCCCTGTTCCACCACAAACGATTCAGCTCAACAGCTGTGTGGTAATTAGCACAAGAAGTTAAATCAGGTGTGTTAAACGAGGGGAAACCCAAAAATGTGCAGGGCTCCGACCCCCCAGGACTGGAGTCTGACACCTGTGGTGTAAAGCTTGAGAGACTGCTGTCACATGCACAGGTGGACCGGTTCCAGCCATGAAGCCCTGTAAGTCCTTCAAAGTTGCCTTTGGCCTCTTGGTAGCCTCGCTGATCAATGCCCAGTTTGGGTGAACGGCCTGATCTATGCAATGTGTTGGTGGTGCTATATACCTTCCAGTTCTTAATGATCCTCAGTACTCAGAAGAATAGCTAAAGGCTTTGAAATCTTTTTGCAGCCTTCTCCTAACTTATGCCTCTCTACAACTTTATCCCAAAGGCCTTTTGAAAGCACTTTCCCAACCGTGTTCATTCCTTTTTCAGAACCTTGCACCACTAGCAGTGGAATCTTCAAGAGCCAGCTGGCTTTATTCTGAGGCAATCAAAACCACTGCAATTGATGTCAGGTGAGGCAATTAGCCTAGTGTTTGATCTGGCAGCTGATTGGTTGCATCTGAGCAAATTTTGAATGGTACATTCTAAGGGGCTGATCACTTTACCGAACCAGGTATTTCACTAATTGATTTTTAATAATTTTCCAAAATGTGATAAGTTGTTGTTTTCACACTGACAATGAGGGCTATAATGTGTACAAATGGCTAAAAAATGACATTTCATTTTCCTGGGTGTGATGTGACAGAAGGTATAGATTTTCACAGGGTATGATGACTTTCTATAGGCACTGTATGTTTGCCTGATTCCTCAGTGTTGTCGTTGTTCAGTTCATAGTGTGCGTGTCTGTTTCAAGTCTATGCCTGCTTAAATAAAACTTCCTTTTCTGAAAACCAATGCCAATGTGTGGATCGTTGCTCCTTCCTGTTTCCTGAACATGACAGAATGACTGAGCTCCCCAGACAATCTCATGGCCTTACCAAAAGAGCCGCCTGCACTCTGTGTCTCTGTCTGCTCCCTCTCCCCTGCATTCACCCTCCTCCTGGTATCAAAACCAATCGTCCCCTCATTTAGGTAGTTTGTGGACAATACACCGACTGACCTGCTGAGTGACAGTGATTTAAAGGAGCCTGAGGTAAACAATGGACCCGATGAGTCATCCACCATGTGAATTGCTCCTCCAAAACCAAGATAATAAAAGTTAAGGCATTGGGCATAGAGACCGGAGGTCCCGATTCGAAACACAGAGTCTTATGAATCCAGGAGAAGTGTGAGGTCGCTGGACCTTTGGAGTGGCTCCCGACTTGCTCTCAAGTCCCCCAGGAACCCATTCCAGGACCTGAGGAGGCCACTCACCCAGAACCTGGTCCAGCACACGGTCTAGGGAAGCCGACTCCGTCCTGGTAATCTCACTCCCCAGCTGCTGCCTCATCAGCACCTGGGCCTGCCTCACCTCCCATCTTGCCGGCGCCTGCCTCACCTCCCATCTTGCCGGCGCCTGCCTCACCTCCCATCTTGCCGGCGCCTGCCTCACCTCCCATCGTGCCGGCGCCTGCCTCACCTCCCATCTTGCCGGCGACTCGCCTCGCTGCCTTTGTCTGCCCTCCTGCCGTGTCTGCAATGCCGCCTCTGGCCGCTACTGCAGCACCTCCGGAGCCCATCTTCGCCCCAGCAGCATCTCCGGAGCCTGGTTCCAATGCAGCGTCCCTGGAGCCCAGTTCACCTCCAGTGTTTCTGCCAGTAAGCTCGGTGAAGTACCCACCTTGGCTGTCATCCAGAGGTGGACGGCAGCCGCGGTCTCACCTCTCCGGATTCTGGAGCGGTCGCCACGGTGTCACAGTATGTATGTCTGTTTCAAGTCTATGCCAGCATAAATAAAACTTCTTTTTGTGAAAATCAACACCAGTGTGTGGTTTGTCACTTGTTCCTGGTTTCCAGACGTGACATTATACAAACCAATATTTGGTATGTTTTTGACGGTAGGTTGTCTGAGATGTCTTTTTTGCAAAGCATGGTTGAAATCTGCAGATGCTTCTTGTGAATAGCAAACTCAAAATGTTTGAGTGGTTTGTTTTTAAGTCAAAGTAGCCATAATCCAGACCTTAATTTCATTCCTTTATTGCACTCCAGATTTTCAAACTTTTCTAGCTTTTGTTGAAGTCATTAGCCAGATTCAAATATTTTTACCAGCCTATATTGTGCTATTGAATGATATTTTCTATACATATAAGAACAATACAATAATTTGTGTTTTATTGGTTTAAACAGATTGTTCATTATTGTAACTTAAATTTAGATTAAACCACATTTTATGAACAACTACTGCAAAAAAATACGTAATTCCATTATGTCTACATATTATTCTTTGCAACTGTGTAGTAAACACAGTTGCATTGTAGTAAATAAACAGGTAGTTTTCCCAGCTCTTCATATCTGATTCTTTTCAGATCTTGTTCACGTTTAGCTACTGAACCCTATTAGTATTCATGGCGCCATGATATCCATTTATTAGCATGCGACAGCTTGAGTGGACCTATATGACGGATATGTCAGCTTCAGAAGCATGTAGTGCAGAAACACACAATCTATTAACCTATATAAAAGCATGCAAGCACAAGTAGTGCACATACTGTAGCATGTGTGCATCTCTATGTACTGCAAAAGAAAATATTTTTTATTAAAAAATATATATATTATATTTGTCTTTTAGAATGACTTCTGTCAGGCAAAAAGTAGAAGGTTAACTATAAATGGTCAATAAATACATAAAAATGAATGCTGAATATTCATGCTAAAAAATCAGTCTATTTGACCCCAAAGTCTTATTTAACTATGAATAAAGAGCAGTGGCCGGTCATCAATTATTATATATTTTTTTTGCATTGCCCCCAAAATGGAGTAATGCTACTGGTGTCACAGACAATGAGTTCTTAATGTGCTAATGGTGTGATAATATTCCAATCATGTCGTCCCTTTAATGAAGGGCTCAGTCCATTGCACATCATTAATGTTCATCATTTGTTCAGAGTGCACAGACATTTGACACGGGAAGATATCAGTCTCTTTTTTTGTGAAATACAGAAGAATAAGGGGAATGGGTAATACACATTAATTAAGGACACAGACTCATACCTTGAAGGTAGGAAAAAGATTAATAGATGTATCTTAATAACATGAATTGCTTCAATAGAAAAGCCAACTGTATAATGGCATAACAATTTTTGGAAGTGTCAAAGTCCAAGGACAACTATTTTTTTTCCAGAACCAACAGTAATATGATTGCCAGGATTCAACCTAACAACCTTCAGGATAGAGGGAGAGCCACACACCCCCAGAATATGGGGACTTGTTTATTATGTAAGCACGGGAGGATAACTCTTAGTAAGGAGTTGATAAAGCCGATCTCCCAAAGAGGGTCAGTGACCTTGGATGAAAGGAAAACATAAAACATTTCTGAGAGTCTGAGAGTCTAGGGCAATAGAAAGGGGTCCATTCCCCGGTCAGCCATTATATCAGATGGATGTACTACAGTACTGCCGCCGATATTACTACAAGAAAAGAGAATGAGCTTCGAAAGACCGAGCCAGGGGTAACATTTTAAGATTTAATTTTTTACACTAATTGCTATAAAGTATGTGTGTGTGTGTTTTTTTTGTCTTGGAATGGTCATGTCTATGTGAGATGGCAATCAGTTCACTGCTATTTCTGTAAATCTCATTTGGATGTGGAGGGACATGGCAAGTGCACAGCTGATGGAAAAATTCCACCATCCAATAAAGTGCTGGACGATGCAAGGAGATCAGATCATATATCACAACAGCCCTGGAGATGAAGATTCTAGAGATTAAGCCATTCTTTCATATCAGGGGATTATGATGCAGCATGGAGAACGGCATACCCTACGGCAAAGTTTCAACATCCACCTCCACTGGATGGACAGGATATTGTACATCTAGCCCTTTCATCCATCAGTAGGAGACTTGAGTACATTAAAGCTTTTATGGATGATGCACACAACTGCATGTTCATTCATTAGATGGCACCAAGGACCCCTGAGGGAATGTAAACTCAGTCAGGAACTTTTCCCAGCTTTCCTCTGGTGTTGAGTGCTGAAGGGGGTGCAGTACTGTAGCCCAAGGTAATCCCCAACAATAGAACCAACTTGACTTCAAACATTGTTTATTTCCTAAGAAAATAAGAAACGTGTAGTGTACAAGTCTAACCGCAGAGAAGCATCTTGCAGCTTACAAATAATATCTTTGAGCATTCCTAAGGCTCAACTGCTTCAGAATGAGGGCTGGAGATTGTGACGGACACTTACAAACATCCATCCAACTTCCTAATGGGTTTTCTTGGGTCATGATTATGATATGGGGGGGGGGGGTCTGTGTAGCGACACACACACAAAAAGCCATATTTTATACCCAGCGTACACTGTGGCAGGCACAACACAAGTGCCTTTCCTAGCATGAGCCCTATGCAGTTGTTATTTTCACAGCCAGCACCCATGCCGTTTAAATTAAAGTATAATTAAATTATAAATGCACATGGGCCCATCTGAGGACCCGTGAGCGTGTGTCGCTCTTAAAATGAGGTGGAATCAGGTGCATTGCTGGTGCATTGTTATTTTGAGGCAGCAGTAAGCGATTGCGCTTTTGACCAAGAAAAGCCTAGTCTAAAGTCATTGGCGCCGTATGTCACTCTCATTTTAAGGGCGTGTTATCAAGATAGTAACGTGCACCTACATGGGTGCATATAGAGTGCGTGTACACTGCTTGTTACGCACACAGGGATGTGCAGCAGCACACAAACATACAAAGGATTAAAAATAGAAAGAATACAATGTAAAATATCATTAATGTGTACGTCAAAATACTTTATGAAATGTATGTCATAGTGGTTAGTGTCAGGATCTTCAGCCAGAGGAGCTGCGTGACATTTACGGTTCATTTACTGAATGGCTTTGCTGCAGGTGTGTAATAAAACTAATTCCAATATTTTGCAGAGTATTTTGTCCCGCTCCCACCCACAAAGAAAAACTACATTTTGTTTGACTACGCATATTTTCAGGTTAAGAATAGACAAACCTGTAGCCTCAACAAATAGGCGACATTCAGCATTTAACACTTAAAGCAGGATGTTTTTTAGATGATACTAGGCTAGTCATACATATGGGCATCTTTCACACCCAGAAATGTTTGCAATAACAGGTCATAGATCCACGCAAACAAAATCAACACATTTGTGCGTCGTTTCAGCTTTTAGTGCAGTTGTCACTTTTGATTTGCTTCCACTTTCAATGAATGTCAGTGTCGTCTGTCCTTCGAAACTGAACATAGGTTGCCCTTAAGTGCTGGACTAGTGCCCAGTGTTTGATAGCACTTTGTTGAATTTGTTGCAACAAGCAAAAGGCAACTGGTTCACATTGTGGTCGCTTACAATGACAAGGACTCCCAAATATCTGATTTCCCCTTGCTTAGTTTGACATTAAATAGTTCTGTAGTTTTATATTCACCTTTCCTTAAACAAATATTTACATCCTCGGGTGGTAAAGGTTTTTGTACTGGCCCAGACATCATGAGGGTGATAAGTGAACATAAGTAATAGTTTGATAAAATAACACAAACATATTTGGGCAATACATATTTATTTTAATTATTTTTTGCGCACCTGTAAATATGTTAGACACACCCCCCAATACCAAAATGAACATTTTCCCATGCAGTACTCCATTACTGTGGGTCCTGGTGGAATCCTGTTGTTGATGTAGATTAGGATTCCCCAATTGAAGTCCCGGAGAACCAGAATACAACACAGTTTGCAGATTTCCCTGCTCAAACACAACCACTAAACCTGGTAAATAGTTGAATTAGATGTGTTTGAACAGGGAAATCTGTAAACTGAATTGGATTCTGTCTCTCTGCCGTAGATGGTCTGCTCACGTGTTTTCAATTCATGCACAAGCACATCCATTTCCACTGCAGAGAAGTGTTTCTGCTACCTTAAGGGCAAGTACTCCTGGCTTTTAAAGGCAATGGGACATGACACTCTGACTGGTTTATAGCGTGTTATGCCCCAAACACCCCCATGACTAATTATGAGACTTGGTACAACCCTTTTGGACCGTGCTCCTGGTATTGTGACTGGCCACACCCTAAAAGAACTTGCAC